ACGAGAACCGCAGAAAGAAAAGGAGCAACCCTTCATCCGTGTTACTGTTGCACATGGATGCGCTTGTGGTAATATTTGTTGAAATTTTAGGCGAGAGCTCCTTTCCGAAGACGTGCTGAATCTTTCAAAACGAAGGTGCGTGGCGCCATGGTGAGAGCCACGGAGGTAGAATTCCATAGGACTGCCATCCATATAACAGTTGGAAGCTTTTGATACGAACGTGCGCGACGCTGAGCGAGAGCCACAGTTCTAAAGTCACTGGCTCTCCCTCTGTGGAGGTGCTTGCGACTTTTCAGCTTCGGGATCGCACACTGTACAAGAAGTCTTGAGTGAAACGCCCGGCCCCGCCCACGGACGCGTCTGGCGCGACGAGGAGGTGGAGATTTTTTTTAAGGGCGAGGGGTGGAGGAGGGGAACGAGGTAGCAGGATAAGGATGAGGACGAGGATGGTGATGATGATGATGATGATGATGATGATGATGATGATGATGATGATGAGGGTGATGATGAGGTTAACGATGATGATGCTGATAATGGTGCTGAGGATGATCATGGTGGCAATGATGATGATGATGTTGACAATGATGATGGTGATGCCGATGATGATGCCGATGATGATGCTGGTGCTGAGGATGACAACGAAGATGATGATGATGATGATGATGATGATGATGATGATGATGGTGATGGTCGTGATGATGATGATGATGATGATGAGGATGTATGTGATGATGATGCCATTGATGATGCTGGTTATGATGATGATGCTGATGCTGATGCTGATAGTGCTGGTGATGATTATGACGATGATGGTGATGATGATGGTGCTGATGATGATGATGCTGGTGATGATGCTGCTCATGATTATAATGGTCATGATGATGGTAACGATTATGTTGGTGCTGATGATGGTGATGCAGATGGAGATGATGACGGTTATGCTAATGATGACGATGATGATGGTGCTGATGATGATACTGATCATTATGCGACTGCTGACGCTGATGATGATGATGATGATGACGATGATGATGATGATGATGATGATGAAAAGGATGATCATGATGATGGTGATGATGACGATGATGGTGGGGATAATGATGACGATGATGGTGGAGATGATGATTATGATGATGAAGCTGGCGCTGATGATGATGATGCTGATGAAAATAATTATGATCATCATGCTGGTGGTAATGCTGATGATGGTGATGATGATGATGATGATGATGACGATGCTGATCGTTATGATGATGATGCTGCCGATGATGATGATGGCGATGATGATGACGATGATGATGGTGATTATGATGCTGCTGATGATAATGCTGATGATGATGCTGGTGCTGCTGATGATGACGATGATGATGGTGATGACGATGATGAGGATGAGAGTGATGATGATGCTGCTGCTGATGATGATAATGATGATGGTGATGATGATGACGATGATGATGCCGGTGATGATGATGCTGCTGATGATGCTGATGATGATGTTGGCGCCGATGATGATGACGATCATGATGATGACGATGACGAAGATGATGATGCTGATGCTGCTGTTGATGACGATGGTGATGGTGATGACGATGATGCTGATTGTGCTGATGATGAGTATGATGATGCTGATGATGTTGATGATGATGACGATGGTGATGATTGTCATGATGAGGATGATGTTGATCATGATCATGATGATGATTATGGTGATGATGATGGTGATGATTGCGATGATGATAATGAGAATGTTGATGGTGACTATTCTGTTGACTATGCTGATAATGGTGATGGCGATGATGATGGTGATGTTGTTGATGATTATGACGATGATAGTGGTGATGCTGCTGATGATGTTGATGATGATGATAACTATTATGTTGATGATGATGCTGATCATGGTGGTGAGAATGATGATGGTGGTGATGATGATGGTGGTTGTGGTGATGAAGATGATGATGGTGATGTCGATGACGATGATGATGATGGTAATGAGGATGATGGTGATGATGAATTTGATGATGATAATGCTGATGATGCTGATGATGATGATGATGATGATGATGATTATGGTCGTGATGACGATGATGCTGATGATGATGCTGCTGATGATGATGATGACGATGGTTGTGATGATGATGATGATGATGATGATGATGATGATGATGGTGGTGATCGTGATGATGATGGTGATGTCGATTACGATGATGATAATGATGATGCTGATGCTGATGATGATGCTGCTGATGATGTCGATGGTGATGGTGATGGTGATGATGATGATGATGATGATGATGATGATGATGGTGATGGTGATGGTGATGGTGATGGTGATGGTGATGATGCTGCTGCTGCTGATGATGATCATGATGATGATGATGATGATGATGATGATGATGATGGTGATGCCGATGACGATGATGATGATGATGGTGATGAGGGTGATGATGATGATGATGATGAGGAGGAGGAGGAGGAGGAGGAGAAGGATGATGAGGAGGAGGATAAGTGCAATGAGGGGGGGCGCAGGAAAATTATTCGGGATTGGAGGGGGGGAGAGGCAGACAGTGAGTGGGGGAGAACGGTGCGGGCGAGAGCAACGACGCCCCCTTCCTCCTTCTTTTCCTCCTCGTCCTCGTCCTCGTCCTCGTTTTCCTCCTCCTCCTCCTCCTCCTCTGACTCCTCCTCCTTCTCCTCCACCAGGCTGTCACTTCCCAGGATGTCCCCCCTCGGCTGCACGCAAGAGTGGCCCTAGCAAGAATGACCCTCGGTGCGCGGCAAAGGGGGTGTGTGGGGGGGGCGGGGGGCTAACCCAGTCGCGGAAACCGCTGCCATCGCCTCGCGCTCGGCGACCCAGGGAGGCCCCAGTCCGCGCTCAAGGCCATTCTCGCGAGAGGCCCCCCTCGCGTGTGGCTTTCGGGTGATCGCCCAGGGCTCCCGCGGCCCGTCTGGGCCGAGCTCGGGCACCGCCCGGAGCGCTCCCGGCCAGGCGCCGCTGCCGCACCGCCTCCCGAGGAGCCGACGACCCGCCAGCCCGTCCCCGCCCCCCGTGCAGCAGACCCCGCCGTGCGCCGCCACGGCCTCGCTCCCCCCCCCGCGGCGCACGGGGCGGGCGGGCAGCGCCCGCCGGCGCCGGCCCGACGTTCCGCGGCGTTGGCGCGCTCCGCCCCGCCCGTCGGCGCCTCTGTTCGACGCCGCGGCGGGAGGCGCTGGTCGGGGGGGCGATGCCCGGGCCCCCTCGCGTCGTGAGAAAGTTGCGACGGGAGGCTTTCCGCTACTTTCGGCCTCCCGGGCCCCAAACCGGGCCTCGGGGCTGCCAAACAACGACGCAGGATGAGAAACTGGTCCTCAGGAAGGGGTCCAGACCGCTGCGGGTCGACGCTGCGAACAAAACTCACGACGTCGGGGGTCTGGGTAGAGTATCAACGTCACGCCGCCGCGTGGGCCCCCAGGGCCCCATCGGCGTGTTGCTGTCGATATGCGGTATCGTTGCCGGATGAAGAGCGAGGGAGGAGCATGCCGATGGGGCCAGGGGGGCCCCCCGCGGCGGCGTGGAATTGATGCTATTTCTCCCCCCCGCGCTGGGGTGGGCCTGGCCTCGCGGCCAGAGGACCGCGAGGAGGGGCTCGGCCGTCGCCGCGGCCCCCGCCGCACCGAGGCAGCGAAGGCGCGGCTGGGGAAAAGTCCGGCGCCCCGCCCCTCTCGTCGCAGCCCCACGCGCGGGGGAGAAGTCCACGGGGAGGGAGGAGGGGTGGCGCCCTCCGCACAGCAGCCGACGCTGGCCCTGGCCGAGCCCGTCCCGACGGGGGTGGGTGGGTATGGCGACCCCGGCCCCCGAACCTTCTCTTCTGAACGGCCTGCTCTGTCGGGGGGAGGTCGGAGATATCGGGGGCGAGGAAGCGCCTGCGGCCTCCTGGCTCTCCGAGATGATCGTGCACTGCGCAGACCGCTCTCAGGAGGCCCCAGTCTCTTCGGGGGGGGCATCCTCTGCTGCCGCTGGCTCCTGCTGGCCTTCCGCTGGCGGAAGGGGACGCCCGGCTGCCTCCGCCAGCCTCTCGCCGAAGAGAGGAGAAGTGGTGGCCGTGTCGACGGCGATGCTCCTTCTGGACCGCCCTGCTGGCAGCGCCGAGAGCACACGCACCGGCCAGGGGCCAAGGATATGTCCCAGGATTGGCTTGGCCAGGGCTGCCTGTCAGGTGTGCGAGCCCCGAGGCCAGACGCTGCGAGACGATGCAGCGTCGGTGACACTCCCGACCGGGGCATCTCTCGAGCTGGACATCTCTCGAGCTGCATCGATACGCCAGGGCCCCAGGGCCCGAATCCAGGCGAAGGTGCCTGGAGCGAAACAGACTGCGACATCCAGGTCTCAAGGATTGGCGCCTCCTGAGCTTCGCTGCCCCGATACGCAACACGCAACACGTAGCGTGTTGACACGGAGCTCGGCACATAGACTGATCACGTAGGTCTGGCGCGAGGTGTTCGCCAACACGTGCCGAGCCAACGCGCAGCGTGTTAGCGTGGACGTTTTGAACACGGTGCGTGTTGCATGTCGAAGCGGGCGTATGGCAGCTAAGCTCCTGAGAAGTGGGCGGGCCGCGGAGAACAGGGGGGGGTGCACAGCAACAGCCCCGGGGGCGCGCACAAGAGCGAATGTGGCGAGGTTTGCGGCCCTCACAGCAGGCATCGGGCAGGGCCAATGGGGGTCACCACCGGCGGAGTCACCACCGCCTCCTGGAATCATCGAGAACCGAGGGGGAGGGATGACGAATATCGAGGAGGATGTGGAGGTTTCGGACGTCTCTGGGAGTCCTGGGGGTTCTGGGGTGTCCACGGAAGTCCGTTTAGCGCCTCGACCCCGACCTAGCGCCTCGACCCCGACCTTCCGGGAGGATTACACAAAAAAGGCACCAGGACCCTTGAACCTAGATTCCGGTGGAGGTTTAAAGCAGTCCTGACACAGCTCTGGAGTGCTACGTATTTTTGGGACAGTCTGGAAGGTCAGGGCAAGACGCCCCCCCCTGCCAAGAAGGCCGACCCCCGTCGCCGACACCACCCTGTGCGCGTCGCCAGAATACCATGGCTCTTCCTGGTCAGGCTTGAGGCCGCACGCAGACCCCCCTCAGAGACACACTCGGAACATGGCCGCGAGAACGCGGGTCAGGAACACGTCACGAGCCGCTCTGCCGATGACCAGGAGCCCCATGAAGAGACCCCACACGACGAACACTCCAGGGTAATCAGGCAGCCCGCACACGAAGAACCCAACGGCACCCCTCCAAAGCTAAGGTTGGTCTCAAGTGCGGTCAAGAACTCTTGCTTAGCGTGTCGCGGCGGCGGGGGGGCCTCTGCGACGTGCCTTGCAAGCTGCTTAGCGCGTCGCTCTGCTTCGCGGGATGGGAACCTGTGAAAAGCTCGGAACGTCGACGCTTGGGGACCGGGACGTGGTTAGTGTGTCGCGCCGAGGCGTGGTGGGCCAGAACAAGCGGCGCGACTCGCTAAGCAAACGTTCGTGTCTGCAAGGTTGTTTTCAGCCCTCGCGCCAGCCGCAGTCCAGGCTGGCCTCGCCAGGTCCCCAGGGCAGCCTGGGCCGATCTCGTGAATCCCCGTGCCGCCTCCCGGGGCGCCCTGTGGGCGCTGCGCGCCCCATGGGTGGGTTGCTGAGACCGCCCTGGGCTGCCATGGGGGCCTGCTGAGGCCAGCCATGGCCTGGACCACCGCCTCTGGGGGGTCCCTGTGCGCGACCCCACGCCTTGCCAGCGCTTCCGCTCAGCGCTCTGTGCGGCGCGCCAGCGGAGATGAGCGAAGAAGGACCGCCTGCCATGGCCCGCGGGAACCCCGCCGGCACAGCGCGCAACACCCCAACAACCTCGGCCCCAGACCTCCGAGAGCGCGACTGCCTCCGCGCGCCGTGTGCCCCCCATCGGAGTTCTCGACCCCTTCGTGGGGACGGAGTGCTGGCCCCTTTTGGGGGTCCCCAGGCCGTGCGGGGACAGACGGCGCGGCGACCCAGAACTCCCAGGAGACCTCGCCGCGCGGCCTGGGCACCGCGCGGTCGTGCGACGATGGAGGCCCCGATCGCCCGAGGCGATCCTCGGAGAGCGCGGCCCGGGTCCTCGGACCGTGCGGCCGTGCGGGGACCCCGAAGCCCCACAGAATCGCCACGCGGTGTGGTCACCACACCGCTTTTAGGGGCCCTCGACGCTCGGGGCGATCCGGGCACCCCAGCCCCCGGAAAGCTCTCGGCGAGGCGCAGATGCTGGACAGCATCCCGAGGCTGGGAAGCCGCCAGGAACCGGCGGGAACGTCCGAGCACTTCGAACCTCGAACCCTCCGAGACCCCGCATCCCCGCCGACTCGCCTCGACTCACCACACGGTGTGGCCACCACGCCGTGTTGTGCCCCCCCCCCCCCCGAGTCCTGGGCCGCTCTGGACGCGGCCGACGGCCCCGAGAGGCAGCCCTCGGAGCCGACGGCCCAGAGAGGCGGTGCCTCGGAGGCCGAGGAGGTCTGGGAGGACGGGCCGTCGCGCTTTTTGTCTTGCTTGTGGCGGCGCGCGCGCGGGGGGGGGATGGCGCGAGGCGGGGCGGCCTCCTGCGGTGAGGGCGCTGGACACGGGAACCGCTGGGCAAGGAAGCCGGGGGTCTGGAAGCTGGTGGAGGCACCGCTTAGGGCTTGGCCACGGATATCACCGCTGCCCCAGTTAAAACAGGGCAAGGATCGGGATAAATCGCTCCAGAGCGTTCCGGAGCGCTCTCAGAGCGTTCCGGAACGCTCTGGAGCGGCCGCGGCGCCCAAGACATCCTCCAAACCCGCCGATCCTCAGAGATTTCGAGTTATCCCGATCCGATTCTGTCCCGATCTTTGCATCCTCCAAACCCGCCGATTCTCAGAGATTTCGAGTTATCCCGATCCGATGTTGTCCCGATCTTTGCGTCGTTTTACCAGGGCCGAAAGGCTCCCTGGGCACCTTCCCCAACCAAGGCCCTCCCACCGTATGCGACAGCGGAGGGGGGGGCTTCTAAGGGGAAGGCCAGGGGGGGGCTCCTCGGAGGCCCCTCGCGGCCTCCAAAAGGCGCCTTCGTGGGAGCCTTCGGGTCCTCCTGGTGAGCGGGGGCCGGCCGTCCCGCCATTCCTATTAGGGTGCCACGACAGGTTCGCCGAACAGGAGAAGGTTACAACAGCAGAAATCATGTATTTGTTCTTAGTTGTCCTCAGAACATCAACCCGATGTATTGAAGCCGTACTGTCCCAGCCAGAAATATTATGCGAGCATCTCGTGCACGCCGCATTCGGTTCTCAGAGCGTTGCTGGGTGGCCCTGTGGCATGTCGGGACACGTCGCCGCTGCTGGAACCTGAGGGGGCCCTCGCCCTTTGAGAGGAGCCCCCCCCTTTGCCAGAAGGAGAACACAACTGCAGGAACATAATCTTGTGGAGGTCCGCGCGGATTCCTCGGATCTGCGCCAGAGCCCCCTCCCTGGCGCGCGGGGCGCGCTCCGGTGCGATGCCGCAGGCGCCGCCGGGGCGCTCCAGCGCAGATCCAAGAGATCCGCGCGGAGCGCGCAACGCCTATGCTCAGACCGTGCTTTCTCTGCTTCGGCTCGCGCCGCCCCCGCCGTGCGCGCCGCGCAATCCCCTGCCCTGCTGCCGGAGGTCTGGCGCCAGGTCGGGCGCGTCCTCCTACGGGGGGATTGGGGACGACAAGCAAAAACTAGTCCAAACAAAGACTCCCAAATGGTCAGAAAATACTAAAAAAACAAAATCGTCCCCAGGCTATCTTTTTGACTACGTGTGAACACCCCTCCTGTCGAGGGACGTGCCCGACGCAAGTCTGGCGGCAGGAGCAGCGGCCCTGCCGCGCGGCCGGCCCCGCAGGGGGGCCGTGGCGCTCGCTACAGCGGGGCGAAGTCGAGGAGCTCCCCGGGCGGCTGGCGCGGCGGCGTCAGGAGGCCGTCGGCCGCCTGCCGCGGGGGGGGGCGGCGCCGTGCAGCGGGAGCTCGGCCACAAGACTTACAAGTCTGGCACGTCCCTCTACGGGAGGAATATCCAAACATAGTCAAAAAATAATCAGGGGACGATTTTCTGACGATTGACCATGTTGGATTTTTTTGTTCGTCCCAAATCTCCCTGTAGGAGGACACGCCCGACCTAACACAAGAAACCTTCCGCCCAGACCCCTCGGGCAATGAGAAAATCACGACGGGAGGTTCTTCACAATTTTCGGCCTCTGGGGGCCCTTGACGGGCCTCAGGACCGTCAACAAAAAGATTCAGGATGAAAAACCGGTCCCTGGGAACACGTGAAACAATCATGACTTCGGGGGTCTGGGCACAAGAGACCCAGCCCTGAGACCCCAGGACGTCCATTGATTTTTGGTGTGGGAGCGTCGCGCTCTCCACAGCAACAACCATCGAAACCCAAGAACCCCCCCCAAGGCACCCTGGAGGCAAGCAGAGGGGGTACGGGTCTTTTTTACACTGTGATGACAGGATAAGGGGGGCGGCCCCATCGGCGCGTTGCTGGTGGTTATGTGTCCGGGTTCTATGCAGAACGCGGTGGGGCGTGCTACCAAGACGGCGCAACCCGCGCGCCAGAGGCGATGATGATGATGCTGATGATGATGATGCTGATGATGATGATGATGATTCTGATGATGATGATGATGCTGATGATGATGATGATGATGATGATGATGAGTCTACTGACTACGATGATGCTGGTGATGAAGGTGATGCTGCTGACGATGATGACGATGATGCTGATGATGTTGTTGATGATGATGTTGATGATGCTGATGAGGATGATGTCGTTGATGAGGATAATGTTTTGATGATGATGGTGGTAATGATGATGATGATGATGATGATGATGATGATGATGATGATGATGACGATGATGATGACGACGACGATGATGATGATGTCTTGATGATGATGATGATGATGGTGATGATGATGACGATGTTGAGGCACCACCTGAGGTCTTGGGTTGCTACGGCGTGAAGGCCAGGCCACTGCCTGCTCCACCTGCCAGAAGTCTGCCGATGGCGCCGCGCGCCCCGCCGGCTCTCGAGCGCGTGGGCGACGGCTGGTGCTGCGGAACAGCATGGCCTGAGAGACGGCGCGCGTGCCCACTGAGACTCTGTACGCCTCCCGAAGGAAGTTGGCGGCTCGAACATCTCTAAAAGAAGAAGAATACCAATCATAATACTAAGAAACACAATGATGAGAAAAACAGGTAATACGAAGAGGAACCAGAAAACGGCATGAACAGAAACTTTTGGCGCTCCGCGCGGGTTTCTTGGAGGCGCCGCCGGGAGGCGGCTCGAACATCTCTAGAAGAACAATCGGGTTGGCCTGACGGGCTCCAAATGAACATGACGAGACCCAATCTGAAATTTGACGCGAACTCCCGCTGAAGACATCCCACGAAACCCGAACCGTCAAAATCTAGGACTCGCTCGTCAAGAGACGTCGGCAAACCCGAGTGCCGACATACTCGATTCTTACGCTTCCCCGAAATAAGAAAAAGAACAACTAGAAACAATAATAACAACAATAACAATATTAATACCAATAGTAATACTAATGATAAGAATAATACTATTAATAATGATAATACTGATAATAACCAGAAACATCATATTAATAAGAACACTGCTAATCCTAATAAGGAGGAAAAAGAAAACAGCATGAACATAAACTTTTGGCGCTCCGCGCGGATTTCTTGGATCTGCGCCGGACCCGCCTCCCTGGCGCGCGGAGCGCGCCAATGCGGCGCCAGAGGCGCCGCCAGGGCGGCCCAGCGCGGATCCAAGAAGTCCGCGCGGAGCGCCAAAAGTTTAGGTTTATGCAATATTTTCTTCTTCGGTCGCTGTCGCTGCCGTCGCTGCCGCCACCGTCGCCGAAGGCGGCATGGAGAAAATCGGGCTCAGCATCGAGCCGCATCGCCGATGCATCGGCGATACGGCGCGATCCTCCGACCCCATCTACTTCGACCCCATCTAGCAGGCCTAGAGATCTCAGAGTCGTCCTCGTCCTCGCTCTCGCCGCCAGGGCGGCCCAGCGCGGATCCAAGAAATCCGCGCGGAGCGCCACAAGTTCAGGTTTATGCCATTTTTTGTTCTTTGAACCTCTGGGCACACCCACGGCAGAGCCCGGGCGGCGCAGGGCCTTTCTTTGAGCAGGGGCCGACCGTCCTGGCATTCCTATAGACCTACGTACCTCGAATGAGCAGGGACCGACCTACCCGTACCTCCTCCTCCTGAGGAGGAGGGAGGAGGAGGAGGAGGAGGAGGAGGAGGAGGAGGAGGAGGAGGAGGAGGAGGAGGAGGGGGAGGAGGATCTCGCCGCACCGCCGATACATCGGCGATGCATCGGCGACGCCAGCTTGGAGAAAGTCGGGCTCCGCATCGAGCTGGGGCATCGGCGAACTTCGGCGCGATCTTCCGAGCCCATCTGCTCGGACGCCGTCTGGGAGGCCCGGAGCCCAAAGTCGATGTTTGTGCCGTTCTCGAAGGGACCCTGGGACACACAAATAAATACACACACATAAAAATATTCCCCATATTTTCTGGGTTTTTGTATTGCCCCCCACTTCCCATCTTTTCCCATCTTTTCTGGGGAATCGACGATTCATTGTGTCTGTGTGTTTTTTTCTCTCCAGATTTTTTCCTTCTTCCACTCGCTGTCGCTGCCGCCGCCGCCGCCGGACCGCAGTCTGGGCGGGCGCCGCCTGGGGGCTGGCCTCCGAGGGCGGCCACCCGGCCAGCGCCGCGGGCGGGAGCTGCAGGGCCCCGCCGGGCGGGGAGCGGGACCTGGCGGGGGGCGCGGAGCGCGGAGCAGGTGGGCTCCGAGTGGATCCGGGAGGCCCGGGTGGGCCTAGCGTTGCGAGAGTAAGCATCATCATCATCATCATCATCATCATCATCATCATCATCATCATCATCATCATCATCATCATCAGCAGCAGCATCATCATCATCGTCATCATCATCAGCATCATCAGCATCATCATCATCATCATCATCATCATCATCATCATCATCATCATCATCATCATCATCATCATCATCATCATCATCGTCATCATCATCATCATCATCATCATCGTCATCATCATCACCAAGAGGGTCTCAGAAACCACCAAATGGGGCCCCAGGACGGCCCCAAGAGGAGGGTCTGAGGGGAAAACGGAATGGAGATTTCGAGCACTCGGCCCCGAGAAAACCTGAGGAGGCCCCAAGAGGCCCCCAAGAGGCCCCCAAGAGGCCTCAAGATGCCCCCGAGAAGCCCCAAATAATCCCCTAGAGGCCCCAATACGGCTCACCAGAGGCGTCAAAAGTGCTGCCAGGAGACCTCTGAGAAACCCACTCCTCTTCCTTCTCCTCCTTCCTCTTCCTCCTTCCTCCTTCCTCCTGCTCCTCCTCCTCCTCCTCCTCCTCCTACGACTCCTCCTCCTCCTCCTCCTCCTCCTCCTCCTCCTCCTCCTCCTCCTCCTCATCATCATCATCATCATCATCATCATCATCATCATCATCATCATCATCATCATCATCGTCATCATCATCAGCATCATCAGCATCATCATCATCAGCACCAGGGCAGGACCCGAGGGGAGCAGCGAGACCCCCTTCCGCACCCGAACTGCTCCTGTTGTTTCGGCGCCTTGGCTGTGTATTGTCGACCGCTGGGGCAACCGCGGGACGCTCGCGCGGCCTCCGCGGGACGAGGAGCGTGTCTAGAGGCCTCCTGGATACGGTCCGAGTAGATAGGGTCGAAGGATCGCGCCGGATCGCCGATGCATCGGCGATGCACCGGCGCCATCGGCGTGGAGAAACTCTGGCTCCACATCGAGCCGCATCGGCGATGCATCGGCGATGCGGCGCGATCCTCCGACCCCATCTGCTTGGACCCCATCTGGGAGGCCTAGAACCAATGAGGCCAGAGGCACGGGTGGACTCCTGTGGGCGACAGAAAGACACGAGTTCCCCGACCCCCTCGAGTCGCGGAAAAATCACGACGGGAAAAGAGGTGGCCATGTTCGGCCTCGGGGGGGCCCTTGCTGGGCCTCGGGGCCGTCAAAAAACGACAGGGGATGAAACACTGGTCACGGGGAATGGGTCGAGACCTCTGGGGCTCGACGTTATGACACAATCATGACGTCGGGGAATCCGCCGACCCCTTGGGGTCACGGCGTGAGAGATGCTTCCTCACTAAACCCATCCCCCGGGAGCCCGTTCCGGCCGGTTTGGAAGGGGGGAGGGGGGGGCAAATGCTTCAGCCGCGCCCTTGGAGCCTCAGGGGGCTGCAAAACGGGCCAAGAGAGTTTCAAAAGGCCCCCCGGGCGGTCCTAGAGGGCTGCGAGTCGCCGAGAGGTCGCTCCCAGACGCCCAATATTGCCTCTAGACGGCTCCAGAGGTAGACGCCCCAAGAAGCTACCAGGAGGCTTCCAAAGAGGCCCTCAAGAAGCAGAAATCGTCCCATCCCCTAGGGGAAACGTATAT